CTTTTTTACTTTTATATGTTGTCGTATATTATGCACCTTTTATCAGCCGACTTAAGTATTGTTTGTTGTAGGATCAAACTGTTTCCATTAAAAGTCACGACATCCGTCAACAATGTTCCTATAATTTAACCTAAGCGATATAATATTTCACGTATTTTGTTGCTACCTTGTTCCTTCGATATAACTTTTCCTTTTCAACAACCGAATTTCATATACAGTTAAGAAAAGTGTTCAATTCCACATGGAAATCCATTTTTTTAAACTTACTTGTTTTTTTGGTTTAGTCGCAAATTAACCATACTCTATTAATTTTTAAAATCAACATGCTCAAGTACTAAATTCTAAATTGTAGTTTCATATTTGCTAATAGATATTTTTAAAATCTTCTGCATTAAAACGTTATAAAAATTGAGCAGTTAGTTCAAGATCAATTCCTTGTTTTAAAAGGCTCCGATGAAGAAGAATACGACGGAGTAAGACGGACGAAAGGCGAAGGTTAGTTAATGTCTCTGCACCTGGTATATTTCATAAGAAATTATGGAATTTTGAAGTGATCATAGTGTTTTATTGTCAACTTTGGCACATCTGAAGGAACGGGATTCATTTTTTCGAAGTCAAATACTAATTAAACGATAGGTTTTGTTTTAAGATGCTAGGAAAGCCAGTGTGTTTGGACTATCTCACGAAATGTTCAATGATGTTTTTCTATAAATTTTGATTGGAAAATATTATTAGGTTGGAACGTATTGTTTCCTTTTCAGCATAATCCTTAATTATTTGAGTCAAGCCTGCTTAGTGGGCCATTTGCAGTCTGTTTTCATGAACTTTTATGCATAATATGGACTTTTAACATTGGTTTACGTTGCTCCCATATATTCCGAAAATTTCATTAGGTAGATCATACAATAACTATGTTTGCACTCGCTTGATAGGAACTGACGGCTTTTTTAAATAATATACTAGTGTTGCTTTCCTTTATAAACGTGTTACACTTATCTGCTTTTTCGAGATCGCAAACGGATGTGCATACATTGTGATATCTGGCCGTATATTAACGTATGATGTTAAAAATACAGTGTGATCTACATTCAACGCAAAAGCTTATGATCCCCTCCGCACGTATTCATGACGCACACACAACTGCAAGTCATGTTAGCAAATCCCGTTTTATTTAAAAACGATTTTCGGAAACTACGGACACCTCTTCCTCTCTGAAGAGGAAGCGGACATGAACTAAATAAATGGAAAAAGAATACAGTTGCATAAGCAATGACATATTTACCAATCGGTTGTGAGATTAAAAGGCAACTAAAACGCACATTTTTATCCGCTGAAAAGTTTTCGAAAGACACAATGAAGCTTATACAAAGGAGACGTTATCTTGGGATGCAAATATTTTGTGAGGACATTGCAGAGTACGCCATTTTACAATGCCGTCTAATCATTATGTTTTCGTCAAAAA